AAACACAGGAACTCAAACCCAAATGTTCTGAAGAAAAAAACAAGGAACCATGAGATAGGATTTCAGTTCCTGAGGAGTCCGAAGCTCAAATACACTCTCTCTTTTTTGGCACATGAGTTCTAATAGTTTGATTCATAATGACCAAGGCTGGACAGAAGGGTAGGACCAGGCAGAAATACCAGGCTGCCCCTTTGACCTGGGCCTGAAACCAGTCAGAATAAATGCCCAGTACCACAGTGAAAGTGGCTGACAGGTAAACCACCAGTCCATACATCAGGTGATACAGTTGAAGCTGGGCCACAGAGAAGAACTTCAGCTGCCGTGGAAACCGCAGGCACAGTCCACATAAGATCTGTCCACACATGGCCAGAAGTGTCAGAAGACCTAGACAGCTGTGCCAGGAGACAAAGTGTGGGAGTTCACTTCGATTCTTGCTAGAGATAATGAAGGCCAAGCCCACTGTTGCAGCCACGAGTGCTAGCATCTGTGCAGTCCAATGCAGTTGTACTTTGACCTTGTGGGAGCAGAAGTAGAAGAGGGAGCTGTCTGGCGAGAAGATCAGGATGGCTTCAGTCAAGCAGAGACAGAACTAAGAACACAGGAACTGATTAGCAACCTAGCAGTTATTCCCTAACAAGCTTGCCTGACAAACCACCTCATGTCCTACTTCAACTAAAAACCTAGGTCAAAGACCTGGATACAGTATAGATAATCCTCAATATCTAATGTTAAAAGCTTCTTTAGAGCCATACCACTTCAGGCTATGGACACAGCAGAGCTACAGAGGAAGCAAGGAGGGAACTGAAACGTAATACTTCGTACCAGCTTTAATTAATCTGAACTGGCACAGCTTCCTTCACTAGGAAATGCAGCCCTGTGAAAATGCTGAGAATTCCATCATAGTTTGGCAGGGAATTGAATGCACCCAATGAGTTAAACAAGCCAACAACCCATCTGACACACACCCTAGCCTGGCTTCCATCCATGCTCACCCATCACACAAGGTTAAGAGCTTGGATTTGAGCAGGTATTTTAATTTAAATTTTTTTTAAAAA